GACAACATATTCTTTTATTTAAAAACTTGCATTAGCTGCCAAAACCAAAACAGCACTTTTAGAGCTTCCAGAAGTAAAAAAAAGAGCGGCAACTATTGTTGCCGGTGGGATTGAGAGTAACCTAATGCCACCTGAATCATGTCTTTTATCAACATAATGAGGAAACATTTTTAGCCATGCTAGCATCATGGCTCTAGGGGTGGCAATGTCAGTTTATTGGTCACTCAGTCCACCATTTTGGTCCAGACTGAAATATCTCAACAGTTAGCATGTCAAACTAAGATAGATGGTGAACAAAATAAATAAATGGTCTACCTGTAACATCATCATTTTAGCAATGTCATTGTGAGTATGTTAGCATGCTAACATTAGCTCCAAGCACCGCTATGCCTTAGCATAGCCCCACAGAGCCGCTAGCATGACTGTAGCCTAAATGTTCACCATCATCATGTTCAGTATCAGCAAAACATTCATTAACAACTTGTAACATTTGTTTTAATTCAGTACCTGCTCTTGCAATACATAACCTGAATGAATGATTAATGTTTAGGCCCTCAAAACACGTTGGTAAAGCATTGGGGAAGATCTGGTTAAATATTGAAAAGGTTACTTGAGGCACAGAATACAACATGTTTACTTTATTAATATATAACAAAACCACAATCTGTCACTAAGCTTCAACAAAGTTTTGTCGCCTAAATCCAACCACACGCATTACTCCGGAAACAAGGCCTTTTCCATACACATGTGCTGGCCTGGGTTGACTTGACAGATTAGCGCGGCAGAGATTTACATCTCCATTACAAGAGGGCTACCCACTTGAAGGTGTGCCTTTTAAAGGAGCAGCGATGGTCGAGAGAGCTTAAGATTGAATGAACAGAGGGAGTGTGAGAACAAAGCAGTAAAGCAAATAAACAAGTGATCGTTTCACAGCGGTTACGTACTAAAGCACAAATAAACGCAGCCACCTTCCTCCCTGCAGTATGTAGACTTGTTTTTATAGCTGTTAACTAAGCATCGCTAATTCGGTAATTAACAATAATTAATTTTCTTTCCTATAAATCCTTCACAATAAAAGCCCATGGTTATCTTGTTATTTAAAAACTTTTATTATTAAGCAGCAAAATCAAGAATTATTGGGTTTTCATCAGCACTGATGTGAACATGAAACAGTAAAATAAAGCAGATATCTGAAAGTACAAACAGATTCAGTTAGAAACTACAAAAGCACTCACTCAGAGACTTGAACGTCTGTCTGTCTGATCTCCTGTACACACGAGTTGAGTCTGGGAACATACGCTTATTTGAGGGAGACAAGGGGTGTCATCACAGGTTGACCGCAGTCAGTGAGACATCAACGCAACCCACATGGAGGTGGTCGGGCATGCTCTGCCCGACTCTTGGGCGCAGCTTGGCACAACTTTAAGGCACATTTAAACTGGTAAACCCAAATGAGCTACTCATGGTCTGACTCGGTGCAGCTAAAAGGGCTGATGGAAACCCCTAAAAGTCCTTTCTTCACTCTGATATATAGTATGTTGCCACTGAACATAATCCATGCAGCAATTACATTTCCCTCTTGTATTTGACAAAAGAAATAAGTTGTACATCAGGGTAATTTCTAGAAGACAGAGTTGCAAAGACAGCCCTTGATGTTTTGGGACAGCAGGTCTTTGTTTTGACAAGCATTCACCTTACTATTGTGCCCTTGAGCAAGAAACTAAACCCTTGCCAGCCCCATGGCTGCCGCTGTGTCTGAGCCTGGCCTTTTGACCTCTCTGTGAAATTGGGCACGGGAAAAGATACATTTCCCCTGGGGATCAATAAAATATCAGATTATTGAACAACTGTAATAAGTGTGACAGCATTGTGAGATGAGATGTGAAATAGAAAGCTCAGCTTGGCCCTCAATAGTGGATCAAGAACTGTGCGGAAACCCCCACAGGACTGTATGTGACATGACTGCAGAGGAGCACGGAGAGGTGGAGGGATGCAGCAAGTGAACTGAGGTAGAGATCAGTGATCTATCTAAACAGCGAGTGGGATGACTGGGCACTATTCAGCAGATGGAAAGAAAAAGCTTTTGCAAGCTGTATGTAAAATAGATTATTACAACGCATAACCTCCAAATATTGCACCTTTGGGACTCAAGTTTAGTATCAGCCTTTTCATTCATCTTTAGATACTGTTTGTATTTTGCTAACATTTATGAGGAATGGTAAAGCAGACCATGGCTCAGACCACAGAGCTTGAATTGACAAACAGACATTTCTATTCAAATCACTACTTTTTAAAGGTCACTTGAATGGCAGGCTTAAGATAGCCGCCACAGACTGTTTACAATGCTGTGGAAGTGAAGGTGTAGGACGTGAGGCTCTGAAAGTTGAACTTTTACCCCACCAGATCATGAACATTTCAAAGGCAGCTATAACATTTGAGCTGTCTGAATGGGTTTGTGCATTGAAGTAACTGCTGCATAACACTATACATGTGCTGCTATTAAAGATGCATTAATGAATATGTTTACCTAACATTTGAGAGAATTAGAGTAGTGGTAATGTAAAAGGGGTCACCAGCAGTGACAAATCCACAGACAATTACCACCCAACTCTGAAGCTCTACTGACCTTAAGCCTTTTATTTCATGGTTCTGGCTTTATAGCACATTTACAGTTTGGTTCAGTGTCACTGCTCTCATCACCTTTTGTCCAGCATCAGCAAGCAACTGTTTCCAGGAAAAAAGCTCTAATGAACCTGCTGTACACTACCTGCCCAACACCAAACAGCACACAGAGAAAGTTTAACCACAACTAGCAGTTATCATTATATTCTGACCAAATCAGGCGTTGGGGCAATTAGCCACAGGTTGGCGTGGTGGCTTGGGGGTGTTTTCCTTAGGATGTAACCACAGTGAAATTATGATACAGAAAACCAAAACTGCTAAAAGAGGAGCTAAAAGAGGCTATA